GTGGAGTTGGGCATCAGCCATTCTGACGAATGAATTACACCCTGCCTCGCACCTTGTTGTTCTGTTCGTACTTCCAGTTTCGATTTTAGTAGATTTCTAGCATATTCTTTTTATGTGACCCTTAAAACCGCAATTATGGCATACCAGTTTAAGCTGCTGGGCAATCTTTCCCACAAATTGATTCTCCTGGGTGGGATACATTATTTCTTCGGGGTTGTCGAAGCGCACGGCGCCCGTGGTCAGATATCTGTCGATAGGGCGAGGAAGGCGGTTCTAAAATCATTTAATAAACGTGCAACTGACGTATCTGGCGTATTCAAACTGATGAGCCGGTTGAAATTTACTCGAGTGTTGGCAGCCTCGGCCAAAACTCGACTCTGGTGTTTTCTTGTTGGCGAGTCCCTCAATCAGCTAACTAGCTATCATGTTGCAGGTGTAGTTGACTTGCTGACCGCAGACTTCCGTGTTGAGACAATTAACTATGAGAAAAATTTGGCTTGAGCGCGTAGCCTTGCTAAAGAAATGACTGATTGACTTAACTTCCGCCTGATGTGCAGAATGAAAGTTCAACATTCCTGTGCAAGCTATTTACCGCAACGAATCGGATGTGTGACAAAAGCCAGTTCTCCGTAGGTGAATTTAAGATTTCAACCCCTATAAGGTCGAAACGGATCCTGTTGACTTCAGGCGAGCATATCGTTCTCAATTCGTTGCGTATTTCGACTGGGTTGATAAGTTTACATGACTCCTTATACCGGAACAAATTGGATGTGTTACAAAAGCCTTTCCTCCGTAGCTGAATTAAAGGTTTCAGTCCCTATAAGGTCGAAAAGGAGTCTGTTGACTTCAGGCGAGAATATCGTTCTCATTTCGTTGAGTATTTCGACTGGGGCGGTAAGTTTACATACCTCCTTATACCGGAACAAATTGGATGTGTGACAAAGTCCTTTCCTCCGGAGATGAATTAAAGGTTTCAGTCCCTATAAGTTCGGAAAGGAACCTGTTGACTTCAGGTGAGCATATCGTTCTCAATTCATTGTGTATTTCGACTGGGTTGGTAAGTTTACATATCTCCTTATACCGGAACGAATTTGATGTGTTACAAAAGCCTTTCCTCCGTAGCTGAATTAAAGATTTCAGCTCCTATAAAGTCGAAATGGAGTCTGTTGACTTCAGGCGAGCATATCGTTCTCATTTCGTTGCGTATTTCGACTGTGATGGTAAGTTTACATATCTCCTTATACCAAAGCGTCAAGGAGTAATGACCAGTCGTTGTCCGTTTCGTTGGGTTCAATGACAGAATGGGTTTTTTTTTCGTGTTGGACGTTTGTGTCGCGTTAGGGGTTCCGTCCGTCCGAAGCGCCATAGTTTCCCTTTGTAGACCTATCATTTGTTGCATGAGTTGAGCAATCAAATCGAGGGTTCCGCCTGGTGCAGATGTCATATCTTATTTTCTTAAGACAGTTCCACGTATTCACCAGATCCTGTTCGTAGCGTCATGTAAAATAACCACAACGACGATGGTAGTAGTAAATCTCAATTACTTAATTCTCGTACCAACAAGATATAAATAACAAAAGTATATATCTGGCCCCCGGTTTATGTAACACTGGACGAGGTAACTAATGTCTGTCTGTAGAAGTCCCTCATTTTCTAATGAGATCTTTCATTTCTACTCTACAGATAGTTAATGTAACCATGGCAGAAATCAGAATATAATGATCATAATAATAATATTAATACATCTCAGAACTTCAGTCCGAAAGTATTTTCTTCTTTCATGTGCTAAGTTCTTTCAGGGCGTAGGCATTCATGGCTCTCCACAACTTCTTGGCTTTGTTAGTTTGAAAATTTTTTTAACCTATACCATTCTTCTTTGTTCTAACTCCGCCATATATTCACGCAAAATTGAGAAGATACACGCTCCTTCATTATATCCTGTGAGTGTTTTATTCTCTAGGCACACTTTCCTCATTAGGTGTCCCATTTTTTTCAACTGTCCCTTCCTGGTTTTAAATATTTCTCCTGTAGTTTCTATTTTTTTTTTAACTTCCATGTTCTGTTTATGGTATTTGTAGAATTTGTCAGTAGAACGACATCTCTGTTGCTTCAAATCCTTTCTTTATCTGAGAGGAGTCTGTCTAGCATTCCCTACCAAATAGCGAATTAGAATTTACATTGTAGATCTGTTATTTTTTGCATGTTTCTCTGCGTAGTAGTAGTAGTCGTAGAACAGTTATCCGTGTTTTAAATAGCAACCGGATTTGCTAAGCGTAGCCACTCTTTGTTCACCAATTGTTCTCCATTTATAATTGTCTATCTAATTTAATTTTCCTGTTTTTCTTCAGTTTCATTCTTGAACTGAATCTTCATAAAGTATCTACGTGAGGGATAGTGTTCCCTTTTACCTATACAATATCAAAATCGAATGCCATGATTTTTATTGACCATCTTAAAATCCTTGACGATGTGACTTTTGGCAATTATTTTCTCGGGTTAAATATAAATTATAATGTTTTGTGGTCCGATTTGAATAAGAATTTTATTCCTATCAAAATGTTTCGTACCCTTTCCATGCTCCATACAATCACTAGTGCTTCTTTTTCATTATTCGAGTAGTTAGTTTCTGCTGACATTAACCTTCTTGATATATACATGATTGGGTGTTCTTCTGGTGATAGAATAGCAACAATCGCCTTTTCACTCGCGTCTGTGGTTAACGTTACTTCTTTTTGTGGATCAAAAACTTTTATTATTGGTTTGTTTCTCAGTATTTTCTTTAGTGTTTCAAAAGCGATTGTTTGCGTTTGTGTCTGGTTAGATTTATTGATTTTACTTGCATAATTTTGCAAATGGCTCTGTTATGTCGGTGTATCTTGGTATGTATTTACTATAAAAATTTATTAGCCCCCAAAAGGATTCTAATTCTTTTTTATGTGTTGAACCAGCTCTTTCTGTTATTTTCTTTGTTAGTCTATCGTCAAGTGATATACCTTCTTTTGATATTTGATATCCTAACTATGATATCTTCTTACATTCAAAATTACACTTGTCTTTGTTTACAGTCATGCCTGCCTTTTTTAATCTCACTAAAATTTGCTCTGTTTTATATTTTAATTCTTCTTTAATTCTTGCCCCTACACATATATCGTCCCGATATATTATTATATTCTTTATTTTTCCTAATAAGACTCTTCAATTGCTTTTTGAAAAATATGGCTCGAAGTCTTTACCCTAAATAGTAGATGAGTCCATCTTAGTAAGCCTAGAGGAGTGTTTATCGTGGTGGTTTCCTTGAATTTATTCTCAATTTCTATTTGGTTGTATGCTGCTTTGAGATCAAGTTTTGCAATGTGTTCCATTTTTGTGGCTTGTAGTTTCGATATTTGACAAAGGAGTAGAGTTTGGACATATCTGATGATTTACCCTTATCTTGTAATCACCACATATTCTTAAATCTCCATCAGGTTTATCGCTACTATCGGTGACGCCCAATTGCTACCATCTTGAATTACTCTTTCTAGTATTGATTTTATCATTTTGTTTAATTTGTCTACTAGGATACGAATTTGAACTTTTCTTGATTCTATATATTTTTGGTGATAATTTTGCCTGCTTTATAGATTTTCAATTATCCTATTTTCTTTTCTTCTGTTCCATGGAATTGATTATTTTCGATGTATCTACTTTTAATACATCAATTCCTAGTAATCCGTGATCTTTTTCGCATTTTACAGCTCTAATGGGAATTATTTCAAAACATTTGTCGGTTTCAAAATTGCCTTGAAATGTACCCATTATTTTTATAGTTGTTCCATTAAATTGCTTTAATTGGACGCTGTTTCTTTTTAATTTAGGTCGTCCTAATTTTACCCAGAAATGTTTTTTTGTATCAACGTGACTGCCTGTATCAATTTGCATGTTAAATATTTGGCCATTTACTCTTATTTTTTATCTACTTCTTTTTTTGCGTATTTATTGTAAATATTTCCGCTTCTTCTTCGGAGGGGGTTTGTACCTTTTGTACTCTTTCTATTTTCTTTTCGTATTTGCATACGTCCTGAAAATGATCTTTTTTTTTGCAATTTGAGCATATTTTTCCTACAGCTGGACATTTGTACTTGTCTCTCTCGTGATTTTTTCTACAATATCTCCATTTAATTATAGATTTGGTCGTGTTCGTCCTGTAAATCTCGAATTCTTCTTTTGGTTGATTAAATTCTCTAATCAACTATAATTATTGTAAAATCTCGACGCCAGTTTCCAAACTAATGCTAATACTCTGTAGACATTCTAATACTTCTCGTTTGTAGTTTTGTTCATGCCAGCCTTCAATTATTCTGAGAATAACTAATTCATCTTCTATAGTCATTTCCCTTGCTCCCAACTTTTCAAATTCACTTGGCTGGTTCTTTCAATCTATGTAAGTATTGTATAATGGACTCATTGGTCTCGTCTCTAAAAACTTGGTTCTTTCGGTGATGACCAATCTTTTATTTGGTCATATGTTCAGTTTTATAATTTTCATGGTTTCCTCAAATGTCATTTCTTCTAATTCGCTCGGGTAACACATTGTCGAAAATCCTCTTCACAGCTTCGCACCCAGCGGTAGAAATAAATAAATCTGATATCTCGTTCTCTCCTCTGTCAGTCTTTGTGTCTCTTAATTTTTTTTATTCTTGCAAATGCAGCAAAAGTTCTTATCCATGTTTTTACGTGTTCTGGATCGTCCAGGGAATTTAACGATCCTATCGGCGACGCCATTGTTATGTTTGGTATATATCTCTGTGTAGTAGTAGTATTAGTAGTCGTAGTACAATTCTCCGTGTCCTGAATAGCCATTGGGTTTGCTAAGCATATCCACCCCATGTTCGCCAGATGTTCTCTATTTATACTTGTCTATCTAATTTGCATACGATACTACAAGCTCATCGATCTTTTCTTTGTTTATCATGAACGTTTCTTATCTCTTAATACTTTGCTTATAATCTGGAAGATGTCTACCTGTATTCCTTTGTACTTTTGGGTGAGTAGATAGATAGATGGATAGATAATGAACATACTGAGATAGATAATGACAGACTGAGGAAGATAGATAATGAACAGACTGTGGTAGATAGATAAATGAACAAACTGAGATAGATAGATAGATAGATAGATAGATAGATAGATAGATAGATAGATAGATAGATAACTGACTGAGCTAAATAGATAGACATGAACATACTAAAAAAGATAGATAAATATGAACATACTAAGATAGCTAGATAGATAATAAACATACTCAGATAGATAGATAGATAGATAGATAGATAGATATGAATATAGTAAAATCGATAGATAGATAGATAGATAGATATAGACATACTAAAACAGGTAGATATGAACATACTGAAGTAGATAGATAGATAGATAGATAGATAGATAGATAGATAGATAGATAGATAGATAGATGAAGAGAAAACAGGTGAATGTGAATACTAAGATAGATAGATAGATAGATATATAGACATACTGAAACATAGTAGATATGAACATACTGATAGTAGATAGATAAGATAGATAGATAGATAAATAGATGGATAGATAGATAGATAGATGAATAGATAGATGAAGATATGAACATACTAAGATAGATAGATAGATAGATAGATAGATAGATATAGACATACTAAAACAGGTAGATATGAACATACTGAAGTAGATAGATAGATAGATAAACAGACTGAGATAGATAGATAGATAGATGAAGAGGCTAAGATAGATAGATAGATAGATAGATAGATACTAAAACAGGTAGATATGAACATACTGAAGTAGATAGATAGATAAAACAGACTGAGATAGATAGATAGATAGATAGATAGATAGATAGATAGATGAAGAGACTAAGATAGATAGATAGATAGATAGATAGATAGATAGATAGGAGCAAACTTAGATAGATAGATAGATATATAGATAGATAGATAGATAGAGACGGAAATAATGCAAATAAACCGACAATAAAAAATAGTTTTGAATCAGGTTTGGCACGTGAATGAAGGATAGAAAAAACAACGATTTATTTTCCGTTTCAAAAAGCTTGCAAGAATTGTGTATTGTCTAATCTTGAAGGAGAATCCTATCAAAAGCTCGATTATGTCAACAGAACTGGAGGTTACGCGGGGTTTAGATTTTAGACAAAATAAATGAATTGACAATAGAATAGCCATGAACAGAATGTGTCCACTTGGAATGCGTCCACTTGGAATGTGTCCACTTGGAATGTCATCTTGGTATGTTTTGATTGACGTCTCAGCATAAAGAGAAATAGAACTTTAACGATGTCGTTTTGCTGACTATATGATAACACGTCATATTACATTCAACTTCCGCAATTAGTGTCTGACAGGATGTGAGCGGCCCCGGACTCCTCATCCAAAACGTGAACCTTACTTTCTCGTCGAATATGTCTGAGTGAAATTACCTATCCCATCTCTCGAAATATATATATATATATATATATATATATTATATATCTCTTGTTAAATGGAGTGAGGAGTGGCTTGTTTATTTTAGCGTCTCAAAAACGAATTTGCTCTCTTTTAATCATCTGAGAGAACCCTTTTTACCTTCCATCAGCATGGCTGATGCTAACCTCCAGGAGAGTGACTCATTTCGCTTTTCCGAACGCAAGTTTTCCGTTCATATGAAATGGAAAGAGTAGATTGAATCAATTGCTAAGTCTGCGGCTATGAATTTAGTTTCATTGTGTTGAGCGAGACAATTTTTATCAACAGAATCTATCTTATATATACCATTCATCCTTTCCTTGAATATTGCTGTCACATTTCGTCTGGTGCTCCTGCTATATATTTAGAGATCCGTGATGCTAGGTCAGGACTAATAACATTGAAGATTCTTCTTTGGATTTTATCAAGAATCTCTATCATTATGTTATTGCTGGTTATCTGCATTTAGACAAAATTAGTTTCCGAGCAAAAATCTGTTCCTTTATTATATTTTTATATTGCAATCTTATTTGTTCAAGCCTTTGATGTGAAGCACTCAGACACCTTCGTCTGTTAAGTGAACGTCTCGCTTCAACTTGAACTTGAAAAAGGCTTTGTTATCGCATTCTTTGCCGTTCTGTTGCTATTCTATTTCTTCCAAGAGATATTTCCATGTCACTGTTATATTAAACATATGAAATATTTAACACGAACAGATACTGAGCAAAAAGCAATTTATATCAACAGAATCTATCTTACATATTTATAAGACTACCATTCGTCCTTTCTTTGAATATTGTTGCGACATTTGGTCTGGTGCTCCTACTATATATTTAGAGATCTTTGATGCCAGGTCAGGACCAATAACATTGAAGATTATTCTTTGGATTTTATCAAGAATTTCTATTATATTATTGCAGATTATCTGCATTTAGACAAAATTAGTTTCCGAGCAAAATGAACTTAATCAGTTCTTTTACACTTTTATTTGCTTCTTGTAATCGTATTTGTTCAAGACTTTCATGTGAGGCACTCAGATAGCTTCATCTATTACGTGATCGTCTCGCTTCAACTTGCCCTAGAAAAATGCTTTGTCATCGTCTTTTTTGTCGTTCTCTTGATAATCCTTTTCTTCCCAGAGATATTTCGATTTTACTGTTATATTAAACACAGGAAATGTTTAATATGAAAAGATATTGAGCCAAAAGAAATTTATATAATACCAGGAGTAATCAACGAACCATAGATACCATTGAACGTCTAAAATATATAAAGGGAATGGATTAAAAATTATCAATGTGTATTTACTTATACATTTCCTGTTCCATCTGTAGTGGGAAGGGAGATAAATCAACTTAAGTTAGTAAATTTATGAGTGAAATGTATTTCCCTTTATCGTTTTCATAATCTATACAAATAAAATATTTATCTGCATTTAGACAAAATTAATTCCCGAGCAGAATGAAACGTTTAATTAATCAGTTTCTTTACTCTTACGTTTGTTAGATTGCAGTCTTATTTGTTCAAGCCTTTCATATGAGGCACTCAGATACCATTGTCTTGTAAAGTGATCGTCTTGCTTCAACTTGGTCTTGAAATAGGCTTTGTCGTCTCCGTCTTTGTCGTCCTGCTGCTAATCTTTTTCTTCCAAGAGATATTTCCATTTCACTGCTATATTTAACACATAAAATATTTAACATGAAATGACATTAAGAAAAAAAGCGATTGATATAATACCAGGAGTAATCAATGAATCAAAGATCCCATTGAAGGTCGAAAAAATATAAAGGGAACGGATTAATTAAACGGTTCATTAGCTTCTATTTTACTTGTGAATTCTTTATCTCCGCTTTATTGAGTCTCAATATATTGGTTCAAGACATTTGTTTCCTTGCAACTCATCATTAAATTATTCGGTTGAGCTAGCTCGGACATATATGAATCTGTCACGCCAACCATCACGCTCTTGCATCAAGATCGGAATATCATGAGGGAGGAATCCTGTACCATATAGTTGGTCAATGTAGGTGATTGCTGGGCGTCTAAACCATCTTGCGCTATTGCTAGGTGTCCAGAGCAGTAGATCACTCGTAAGTTCTTGTTTTGCTCGCCAGCAGTATCCTGCAAAGCGCCTTCGTTCATATAAGGTTGTAGAAATATCAGTTTTGGGTCCACAGAGCTGTTATTTATTTGGATGTTGTTTCCAAGAAAGGTTAAATATAGTTCTGTTGTTCATGATGACGGTCGTCTTCGAGTATAGAATCCAGAGGTTAGCAGTGAATAATTCGAAGACAGTAGGAAAGCGTTGTTCAGGTTAGCAGTGGATATTTCGGTAAAAGTAGCAGAGCGTAGTTCGTGCTTCTGTTTCTCTTCGCCTGACAAGCTGGACTGGACATTCGGGTAGAGTAGACAAAATGGCCGACTTTATACACGACGGATTGAATGTTCTACGTCTTCTGATTGGTTAACCTTCTATTGGGGGACTATAAAGTGAGTCAAGTCATTTGGGCTAACTCACTAGTATATACATACACAAAAAACTGCAACAAGTTCTCAGCATCCAAGTGTAGGTTCTCTCATGTTTAGACTCTAAGGTTTAAGTTAATGTCCAAGCAGTGGCACCATACAGTGGCGCGAAAGTATCTCCGGTTGAGATTGTCTGGTAGATCAGATTTCCAGATTACATCATTTTTCAAGGCGGCTCAGACTTTAGCTATGCTAATTTTCACATCCTTTTCAGAAGAATTTATTTTGCTTTTTAGCTATGTAAAAGATCCAACAGATTCTATTGATTATCCTGCGAGTGTATGTATTGTACTTTGCTGGTTGAAGCTTATGAATTCAGTTTTAGAGACATTGATATAGAGTCTAGTATTGTTAGCAGTTTTTCTAGATTATATAGAGGATGCGGATCTGATAAGTTTGCCTGCAGTGATAGCTAGGACATCTGCATAGTCAATATCAGTCAACTTTTTTGCAGAATATCGACTTGAGAGACTTGGTGGATAAAGTAAACAGATCTTTTTTAACAATGGCCGTCATTTTTGGCGGCATGCTTACAGTGGTATAAACAGAAGAGTTGCGTGGTCGAAGACGTCGTCGGCTTCCGGTGGGAGTGGGGAGTTATCATTACTTAGCTTCTAGCTTCTCGTGTTTATTGGATTACCGCCCCTGGCGATAATTACAGGCCATGTGATTTTTGAAAGGATCGCTCTCTTTTACCCTTTTGATCGGTGGAAGTATCAGCAAGTTTGCTTTCTCTCTTTGCTGTAGATCACGCAACACGTATGTACTTCAGAGACATCAACTGAAAATGTTGTTGATCTATCTTTAACTTCAACTATTCTTTTCCTTACTCTCCTGGAAACCAGTTTTGTTAATACATTAAAACCTTGTTGTTTATTTAAATTCCAGATCTTGTGTGTACGTGTTTTTTTGTTTTTTTTTTACCTGAACTCACATAGTTTACGAGCATATCACACTGAAACACCGGTTCTCGTACGATTACCGAAGTTAAGCAACATCCATGCCGGTCATTACCTAGATGGGTGACCGCTTAGGTATAACAGTTTCCGAAAACTTGGATGTGCTGGTGTCGAACGCCTCGGGATGAGAAATATCACATTGAAACCCCGGTTCTCGTCCGATCTCCGAAGTTAAGCAACGTCGAGCATGGTTAGTGCCTAGATGGATGACCGCTTGGGAATCCCAGGTGATGTAAGTTTGTATGTGCGAGTGATGTGCAGGATAACGTCACAGAATGAGAAATATTACGTTGAAACACCGGCTCTCATCCGATCACTGAAGTTAAGCAATGTCGAGGCGCTTGGGAATACCATTTGCTGTAGGCTTGTATGTGCGGATGGTGTCATGGATAATGTCTAGGAATTGGAAATGGAGAGCCGAGTTCCAATTACAGTCAGATTCATTATATTTAATTACGCACAAATACCCTTGGGAAAGGTATGAATCCATGCGTCCCCCTGGTTAAGGGTTAATTAGTGTTGTGGTAAACCCTCCTACAGTAGAATTAACTCTTCCTTCTCTCATAAATGCTAAATGCGAGACTTCCTAGAGCAGTCATTGAGGCAGTCGTTGAGCAATCGAGACGCATTGTAACCTGATCGTTCGGACGGACACTTCTGTCTGCTTATTACTTAAACTCTTGCTTTGTATATATCTGTTATTTCGATACACTTGTTCAACCTACCTTCGTCTTCCGTGTCTTTCTTTTTTGGCTCCTAAACAGGCCACAACAATTAGTAAGGCTTTGTATCAGTAAATCATTATGATCTCCCCACCCCCACAAAAAAAAAATTCTTACAATCTAATATTTTCTGGCTTTAAATAATCTGAAAAAGGTTGATAAACCGTGAAAGACAATTTGCCAAACTCGTGTGAGACTGCCAAATATTGTTTTGGGACAAATATACCAGGCGTTTTAAGATGACAATTATTTCTGGTCCACAAGAAACGTAGCGACCAACGACTTGTTGTTCTCCTGGATATATACAAAAAGACCCTCTAGAAAAGGACATGACACTCGTTCCGAACATTTTCTTTTCTTTTCTACGAATACGTGTTTAGAGTGCGAGCAGACTGCCGCCATTACTATTTTCTGTGCGGTTGGCGCCTACTTCTCCGTTTAAACCCTTTCTGGAGCGAAGATGGAAATAAACAGAAACACAGTCAATCATCAAATATCCAAAAAAAAAAATGGTTTCTTAGTCGGAGGTTCAGTGCATCCTTCTGGCTAAAAAATTAAGCATTTAACATTTTTCAACAAATGGGTCACTTTCCCGCCAACAATAAAAAACATGCTTTCTGATTCCTTTGAAAAGTATTTAAGCAAAGTCCCTTGGTGGACAAAAGGTAGTAAGGAGAGAGGGATACACATGACATCAGTTCACAGTGTGGTGTCAAAGAGAATCTCTTACACATTCACCCATCTTCCTAAATAAGGTATGGTATCTTCTTCACCAAGCTACATGACACTTAAACTTCCCTTTTGCCTCTTTTTTTCACACATATATGCAGAGAAATCACATTTCCTTTTATCTTAACAAACAACTACTAACAAGGAACTTTAACACTCATACATGCTGAGAAAAATTTAGTTGTAAAAACACAAAAATAAAAATATTTTACTTTTAAAAATCGTTCTTGCCTTTTTTTTTTGTTATGGGTTGATTCAAATCCACAACAGAGTATTAAAGGATACAAGATATTTTCTAAGCATGAAAACCAGAATAAGAACAATCTGCTGCTGTGAATTGAATAAAATGTTTGGTACAAAATTTCGAAAAGGTTACTGAGCACACAAAACCCTAGCAAAAGCATGCGTGAAGAGTGAAGATGGAAATAAACACCAAGACAGTCAATCATCAAATAACAAAAAAAAAAAATCGTTTCTAAGTCGGAAGATCCGCACATCCTTCCGGTTAATAAATTAATCCTTTAAAAGTAAATATTTAACATTTTTCAACCAATGTTCCGCGTTCCCGCCGACAATAAAAAAAAATGTTTCGTGATCCATTTGAAAGATATATAAACAAACAGGCCAGACAAGCCAATACAGAGTAAGGGATGGGAACTGTTCACGACACGGCTTCAAAGAGATTCCCTTACTCATTCACCCGACTTCCTTGCCAAGCTATGTGACATTTACACTCTTCCACGCCAAGCTACGTAATATCTACACTATTCCTCACCAAGCTACATGGCACTTGTACTCTTCCTCATCAAGCTACGTGACATTTACACTCTTCCACGCCAAGCTACGTAATATCTACACTATTCCTCACCAAGCTACATGGCACTTGTACTCTTCCTCATCAAGCTATGTGACATTTACACTCCCCCACCTCAATTTCTCCCTTGCCACTTTTTTCTCACACATACACGCGAAGAAATCACATTTCTTTTCATCTTAACAAATAAGGAACTTTAACGCAAGAACTTTAACACTCATACAAGATGAGGAAAAAAAAACAGCTGTAAAAACACGTATATAAAAATATTATATATTTTTTTATTTTTAAACACCTTTCTCGCTTTTGTCTTTGTTGTGGATTATTTCAAGTCCGAAACACCTTAAACCCAGAAATAGTTTATTACAGCCACAAGACATTTGCTAGTAAGAAACCTCAACTTTAAGGACAACTACTATTCTTCTTTATTAGGAAGAGTAAACATGGAGGCACCAACTGAAGCAGCCTTATCGTTACAACTGCCACCATTCAACCCACTGGATATACAGGCATCAGATTAGCTCGGTTTAGGACAATCAGTGATTACCAGCCATTCTCCATTTCCCCCTCGGCTCCATGCCACAAATTAATGTATTCATTAATTAAATAAACATTATTTCTGGCAGTCTTTTTTTTTTTTCTATTTTTAGTGCTTGAGGCAACTAATAGACCATTTTTAAAATACTATTTTTGAACAAGCGACAGAGATGTGCTTGGGATGCTGAGAGTCCTCCTGTCCTGTCCTGATGCGGCATTCACCCTGGGCGGATTGAGCCGGCTTCTTCCTGTTATGAGAAGAAGATTCTTGGGATAAATTACAGAAGTAGAGTACCCAGGCCTACTCGGATAACGTTCTTGCTTGCCGCGGGATTCCCACAGACGCAGAGACAGGAACGACCAGAAGCCGCCGGTTGCCGATGCAGACGCTCCTTGGATTTTCACCAGAGCCCTTGTTAGCCGGCGTGCGTGTCAGACCTGTCCGCCTTGGGTGGACCTACCAGGAACGAAGTTCCGGACGGCATAGCTCTGACACTACCGTTTACACCCCCCCCACCGACTGTGAGGTAAGGATTGGACTTTGCTGAGAGTACCATAGACTGAACGAGCATTGAGGAAATTTTAAGGAAAATGGAAACAAAAAAGCACTTTTACTTAGAATCCAAAAGCGACTGTTAAAAAATCTGGGATATATCATGAGAAAATTTGGCTTGGAAAATTTAACACTCACAGGAAAGGAAAGAACGACTGAGTTAAACGACGGGTGCTGTAGGTAAAATGGAATTAACAGTTGGAAAAAAAAAACGGCAAGAATCGTAAGACTGATTTTTTTTATTGCTGCGTGGTACACATTCCAGAACGATAAAAACACCTCTCCCCCGTTCCAAAATACGCGACAACCACTTGTTCTTTAATGTCCGGTTTTACGACCTTTGTATACGGGTGCAGTTTATATGCACGAGCATGAGTCAAATATAAATAATTACAATTGTTCAAAATGCACCTTTATTTTCAAATGGATATTTAAAGCTTTGATCAATCAAGCAAAAACACTAATAAAATGTAGCACTCCCGTATTGTTTGTTTTTTGTTTCATCCAAATACGAGTGCAAGTCAGGTTACAGAAAACTTGTTGGTGAGGTATGCAATTAATCCGTTAAAAATCTGTAAAAACTGTAAACAGTCACATTGTTTGGTAGCTTGTCCAGCGATAGACGACACAGAATGTTCTAAGATAAGGTGTGCCGTTCGAATAAAACTCTTCATGTATTTCAGGTGTTGCGAAGGTGGCATGTTTTCGATGGACACATTACTAAATAGTTTCGTTAATTTCTTTTCTTCCAACTCGCCAGACCAGTGTAGAAATGGTGTCCTCAGCATGTCGTACGGGTTCACCTCAAGAATTGCGTTGAAAAAGTCCAGAATTTCGCTGGCGATATTTGTTGGAAGCTTTTCAACAACCGATTGCGTATGGATAGAAAATGAGTAGCTATTCAAAAATAGAATGGGGCGTTAGACAATAAATCTTCTCCCCAGATTGATTCAACATCTACAGTGATGCTACCCTAAGGGAACTGTAGACTCTCCACGGATTTATTATCGATGGACGTAATTTTAATAATATAAGACACTCAGATGTCAATGTGTTGATAGAAAACTTGGAAAGTAAAAAACAGGACCTCCTAGACAGGAGGGTAGAAGAAAGCGAGAAAAAAGGACTAAGTGTGGGTTAGAAGACAGAAAGCATGGTCATCAGAAAACGAAAATTCTCAAGATTCAAGTTACGAAACATCAAGTAAGGGCAGAAGCTGAAACATCTGGTAAGCATTTTAACAGAGGATAGAAAATGCGACGCTGAGATCCAAGCATGCATTGGACTAGCGAAGGAGGCACTTCAAAAGCTGAGTAACGAAAAAAGTTCGTTCGAAACAAAGAAAAGCGTCTCGGATTGCTATCCATCCTCTTATATGGCAGTGAATGGTGGATAATTTCCCTACTGATAAAGAGAAAACTAGAAGCAGCAGACATATGGATCTACAGATGAATACTGAGAATTCCAGCGAGTAAGCCACGAAGAAGTCTTAAAGAAAACGGTAACTGAAAGAACACATCTACACAAAATCAGGAAAAGACAACTGAAATTCCTTGGACGCATAAGGAAGGACGGCGGGGAAAACTTAACCTTCACAAGGCGTATAGAGTGCAAGAGAAATAGGGAAAGGCAGCGAGTCACTTACCCGACGAGCTTGTATGACAGGATGGCGGAACGGGGATCGAGGGCATTAACAAGAGGAGAAATACTGCGAAGAGTTAAACGAGAAAAGAAGTTGCTGAGCTCCAAGATTGCTTAGAGACGCGACGCATAGAAAAAGACGAATTTCATATTTTCTGAAAACACTCTTCTTGCCTTAAAATAAAATCATAAAAAATTAAATTTTAGGTTGATTGATCAAAGCTTTATCAATTTGAAAAT